CTCCTTGATTTTCTGTCTGGAAGATCTATCCTTTGAAGTGAATAGGATATTAAAATCCCCTACTGTGACTATATTTTTTCCAATCTCTTCCTTTATGTCCATCAAGATTTGCTTCCCATATTTAGGTGCTCCTATGTTGGCTGCATAAATGTGTACTAAGGTTATATCTTTATGCTTTTGTTGGGTTTTTCCCTTTATCATTATGCAGTATCCTTCTTTGTCTCTTATTATAGCCTTGGCTTTAAAATCTGTTTTGTCAAATATAAGTACTGCTTCCCCAGCGTTTTTTCCTGTCCATTTTCATGAAATATCTTTTTCCATACTTTTACTCTTAGTCTGTGTGTACCTTTCGATCTGAGATGTGTCTCTTGGAGATAGCCTATGCATGGGTCTTATTTTCTCATCCATTTAGCTTCCTAAGTCTTTTGGTTGGAGCATTTAAGACATTTAGTTTTAAGGTAATCATTGATAGATACGTATTTAATGCCAGTTATTGTTACGCTATTTTCCTCTGGGTTTTTTTTTTTTTTTTCCTTTCTCTTTTTCCTCTTCTTCTTCTTCAAACAAGCCCTTTAACATTTGTTGCAGTACTGGTTTTGTGTTAACAAACTCCTTTAGCTTTTTCCTGTCTGGGAAACTCCTTATTTCTCCTTCAGTTTTAAATGATATCTTTGATGGGTAATGTAGCCTTGGTTGTAGGTCCTTGCTTTTCATCATTTTGAATATTTCACACTACTCCTTTCTGGTCTGAAATGTTTCTGTTACAAAATCAGATGACAGTTTAATTGGTGTTCCCTTGTATGTAACTATCTGCTTTTCTCTTGTGGCTTTTAGGATTCTCTCCTTGCCTTTAAGCCTTGTCATTTTAATTATGATGTGATTCAGTGTAGGTGTCTTTGGGTCCAACTTGTTTTGGACTCTCTGAGCTTCCTGGACTTGTGTATCTTTTTCCTTCACCAGATTAAGGAATTTTTCAGTCAGTGTTTCTTCAAATATATTTTTGATCCCTTGCTCTCTCTTCTCCCTCTGGTGTTCCCATGGTGTGGATGTTGTCATGCTTCTGTTGTCCAAAATGTTTCTTAAGCTCTCCTCATTTTTTAAATTCTTTTTTCTTTTTGCTCTTCTGCCTGGATGTTTTTTCCTACCTTGTCTTCCAAATCACTGATTTGGTCACCTGCTTCATCTAACCTACTGTTTATTCCTTCCAGTGTATTATTTATCTCATCCTTTCCATCCTTTATTTTTGACTGGCCCTTTTTTATGGTTTCTATGTCTTTTTTTCTCACCATTGAGTATCCTTATTATCATTACTCTAAACTCTCTGATAAATTGCTTGCCTCCATTTCATCAAGCTCGTCTTCTGGAGGATTCTCTGTTCCTTCATTTGAGGTCTGTCTCTTTGTCTTTCAAATTCAGCTGCTTCTCTGTATTTGTTTATATGTATTAGGTAGATCTGCAAAGACTCTGGTGTAGGACTTTGTCAGACACTGCTTGTGACTGGCCTGGGTCAACCTGTTTGGAGCTATCAGCAATCCACAGCATAGGGCTCCCTCTGCTGGGCCTGTTTGTGTGCAGAAAGAACCAGGTTGTGCACCAAAGCCTTTTTTGTCAGGACCAGGCCAGAGAGTGGGTTGGCTGAAGTCTCATAGAGCTCCCAGAGATCAGCCTTAGTGGTTAAACTAATCAATAATGTAGCCTCAAGCTGTAATCAGCAACCAGGGTTAAGCTCCACAGGGTGGGACAGTAATTTCAATGGGGAGGAGGCACTCTTGCTTTCCTCTGGCTGATGCTGTTTGGACAGGAGTGCTCTACCTGAGAAAGATGACTTCTGCAGTACAGGGAATGACAGGAATCCTAGCAGCTGTTCCTTCAGTTCTCTCCCCAGAGTCACCAATAACAGAGTCTCCTCAAGCATCTCTAGTCCACACTGACCTCTCTTTGCCGGCACCCAGGTAAGTGACTGCAAATGAAATTTTTGTGCATTGTCCCTTTAAGAGGCTCTCTGGGTATCCAGCTGTCTCTCTCTGGCAGACAGAATCCCTGTTGCTTTTCACAGCTGGATGTTATCTGTGTTCTTTTCTGGTTGTTATGTTAGGATGGGGAGCCCAGCTTGGGGTTTAGGCCCCACACTTCTCAGGGAGAACTTCAGCTGCTGTTCATAGGAGCCCAGCCAGCCCTCTCATCCTCCCCCGCACTCCCTACCAGTGTCATTGTAGTGAAGTGGTTTCTTCTGTCTGTCCATGATTATAAGTCTTCTCTCCAGCTAGTGTTCAGTTGGTTATTCAGCATGATTTTTCTACAGTTTAGTTGTAATTCCAGATTGGTCCTGGGAGGAGGTTAGTGTAGCTTCCACTTACTCTTCCAGCCATCTTGGATTTCCCACATCTGGCTTTTCAACTAACGTGGGCTGACATCTGCTATGTTCATCAGCTGTGTGTCAGCTGCACAGTGTCTTTGAGCCTCTTCTAGCTACCATTTTCCTAAAGGGGGCAGAGTCTTTAGCCTTGCTGGTTTGAGCAGTGTTGTCATTGTTTACCATTGCCCTGGGCGTGTTAAGTGCTGGCTGCTGTTTCAATCTGCAGCCCTCAGAGCTTTCCGCAACACCCTCCCTTCTGGGAGGAGGTGCTGGTTCTGGCACACTTTTGGAGTCTGCCCAGACCCACCCCTGTTACAGGTACAGGAGAGTTAACAGTCAACAATTAACATAACAATAACAATGAGGGGAATTGTGGTCTCTGGTGTGGCTGCTGTGCCCAGAGGGATCAGAAAAAAGTTACTCTGACAATCAAAGGAATGTTATTGTAGATGCAAAATGACAATAGACAGGCTGAGTTAAGGTTAAGATTGAGTTTTTTAGGGAAGATTCTAGCCTAGGAAATGACCACCCCCACGACCTTCTTTTAGTTAGGAAGTTTTAATTTCAGACCATCCTATGCGATTACTTTAGGTCTCCAAGTATGTAAGGCCATGACAAAGACCACTCCTGAGCTTCTCATAAGCCATGCTGCTGGGGGTTTAGGCCCCAGACCCCAAGGCTGGCTCTGTTTTTTTTTGTTGTTTTTTTTTTTTTTTTTTTGCTACCTATGACCTAATAAACCATTTTTTTAAATTTATTGATTTGAGAGAGAGAGAAACCCCAATTTGTTGTTCCACTTATTGATGCATTCACTGGTTTATTCTTTTATGTGCCCTGACTGGGGATCAAACCGGCAACCTTGGTGTATTGGGAGGAAAGACTTTCAGGCTTTGACTGATGTGGCTTTGTTGGTTGGATGTCATCCCAAAGGGCAAGGGGTCTCCAGGGGCCCATGCCTGGATTTCAAGTTTGATCTCCTGTCAGGGAGCATTCAAAAAGGCAACCAATTAATGTTTCTCTCCCTCTCTTTTTCCCTCCCTTCCTCTCTCTCTAAAAAATAAATAAATATAATCTTCAAATAAATAAATAAAAAGACTTTCAGCTATGAACGTTAACATTTTTTGTTTAACAGCTTCCGGATTTTGATATTTGTACTGTAGTTATGTAAAAGAATGTCCTTATTCTTATGAAATTCACACCAATGTGTTTACCAGTGGAGGGACATCTTGTGTACAACTTACTCTCAAATGGTTCAGGAAAAATTCTAACATGTATTTAGAGAAATACTGATAAAAACAAATGTGGTTAGATGATATCATCTGGTGAATCTGAGTGAAAAGTATCCTGAAATTATTTTTAGTATTATTGCCCTTTTTCTTTGTATTTTATATTATTTAAAATAAAATTTAAAAAAAAAATACATGGTGCTGGTGCCCTGGCCAGATGGCTCAGTTGGTTGGAGCACTGTCTTGTACACCAAAAGTCTGCAGGTTCAGTCTCCAGTCAGAGCACATACCTAGGTTGTATGTTCAATCCCCAAGTCAGGGTGCATACAGGAGACAACCGATTGATGTTTCTCTCTCACGTTGATCTCTTTCTCTCTCTCTAAAATCAATAAACATATCCGCAGGTGAGGATTTTAAAAAAGCTTTTTTAATAGTGCTGGCAAAGGACATCCATTGGGAGAGGAAATTGCTAAGGGCACACCAGGCTGCAGGAGGGCTCCTCATGCTAGCTGTCAGCTGCTGCCACAGCTGCAGCCACCCTGACTCGCTCCTGTGCTAGCAGAGGAAGTCCGAGTGTGGTGGCCCCCGAAGTACAGGGTTTACTCAGTAAGGTAAGTCAGGGCAATAAATTCTCTTCTGTGATTTTATTTATTCTGATTTTAAAGTCAATGACTGGCATTCCTTGCCTCCCAGGAACCTCTGCAGTAGAAGGAGGGAGGCAAGGGGGGAAAAGAACCCAAATGCAGTGTTTGCAACAAATAATCCAGACTGCAAAACTGAGTGCAAAAGATGTCATTTATCATTGATGACAATGTTATACATTCCCCTCCAAAGGAAGGCCAAAATTTCCCCCAAAACCAGTGGGCATCTTGCCCATTCCCAAAAGGAGGGAAACCCTAGTAAGGGCCAAGGTAAAGCCCAGAAGTCCTCTGGATTTCCTCTGCCAAGGGTAGTAGTTTCAAGTTATGCAAAGTTACAGAATCTCTGAGGAGCATCTGTAGTGATTTCCAAAAACAAGCATCCTCCCCTGGGAAGAAGGCTGGCAGAGCTCCCATCACCCCACACATCAGTTTCCCGGTCCTGACCCTCCAGAGCACGGGCAGCCACCTCACAGCTCCCGTGTCTAGAAAGAGAGCACATCAACAGAAGAGCTGAGACTGTCTCCAGGGGCCCCAACCAGACCAGTACTCCCCTCCCATCACCTGCCCTCTGGCCACTCTGTCCTGTTCCCCAGGGAGTTGTCAGGGATGAAAGCCCCTCCCCCACTCCCCCATCACTAGGATGTCCTGGACATTGAGTGACTCAGGAAATAGCTCAGACATGAGACCTGCAGGCAAGCCAAGGAAGAGGAAGAGGGCCCTGGGAGCAGAGGAGGTGGCTACTGATTTAGTGAGGGCTCTGTGGTGCCAGGCTCTGGGATGCATCCCCCTTCACTGCTGCTGCTGCTGCTGCTGCTGCTGCGCTGCTCTGTGGTGAAGACCAGAGGTAAGGCACAAGGTGGAAGAGGTGGGGAACCGATCTTCCTTAGAAGGTGTCTGGTGTGTTGGGGACAGGAGACCAAGCACCATGCTGTGAGGTAACACTGGATGAAGGAGATTCCTACCCCATTGATCAGGACAGCCTCTGCTGCTGCATCTGCACAGACCAAGGCTAGGGGCCTGGTGCCAGGTGGAGGCTGTTGGGGGATGGATGACAAGGTGCCCACCCTCAGGGAGTATCCAGTGAGCCCTGGAGCTGGGGGACAGTGGGCTCATTTTGGAGGGGAAGAGGAACAGACTGATCACCTGGTAGGGAAAGGGATGTGAGGGGTGCAGGAGATAGAGACAAGGAAAGGTCAAGGGCCTACCAAGCCCCTTTCCCTGTCCAGCTGCCTCCCACTGCCCTCCCCCACCCATTCCTCCATGGCTCAATGCTGGGCCCTTCCGGGGGTAAATCCTTTCTCTGTCTCAGCCATTCACCTCCCAGGAGTTCCTTATCCCTGTTGACTTGCTTCTGAGGATGGAGCCAGAGGCTAGACTTGGGAGATCAGAGTAAAAATGGGAAAAGGGGGAGAGGATTAGTAACTGAGAGACCTGAGATCTAGGAGTCTAGGGCCTGCACCATGTGGGGACTAGAAACAAAGGCATGGAGGCTAATGGTGGTTAAGAGTGCGCGCACGCATGTGCGCACACAAAGTGCAGGGCTGCTGCAAGCCGTTCCTCTGCAGCACCTGGAGGACAGGTGGAGCACTTTGCTTCCTGCTCCCAGCTCATACTTGCCTCCATCCCTAGGGCTGCCTTGTGGGAGTTTCTGAGAACGCTGTGCCAATGGAGGCACCTGCCTGAGCCTGTCTCAGGGCCAAGACACCTGCCAGTGAGTGTGTCTGGGTGGGTGAGAGGGTGGAAAGGGGGAGAGAGAGCAGCAGAGAAAGAGGGAAGGAGAAGGTGAAGGAGATGAAAGGAAACAAATGAAGGCAAAAGAGGGAAGGAGATGGGAGAGGAGGCAACCGGGTCTGGTGATGTGAGTTTTCCTCTTCCCCCCAACCCCCCACCGCCCAGGTGTGCTCCTGGCTTCCTGGGGGAGACATGCCAGTTTCCTGACCCCTGCCAGGATGCCCAGCTCCACCAGAATGGGGGCAGCTGCCAAGCCCTGCTTCCGGCCCTTCCAGGCTCCTCCAGCCCCTTCTCTCTTGTAACCACCAGCTTCCTCTGCATCTGCCCCTCTGGCTTCACTAGCGAGAGGTGCCAGGCCCAGCTCAAGGACCCCTGTTCTTCTTTCTGTTCCAAAATGGGCTACTGCCACATACAGGCCTTCAGGCTCCCACAATGCTCCTGCTTGCCCGGACGGACAGGTGAGTACTGATGGGGGTGTGGAAGAGAGGATGGCAGGAGCAGTGAGCTGGGCTGTGGGGTAGGAAAGACGACTGAGCCCTGGTGAGGAAAGAGGCCGTGAGCATCAACAAGATGATTCTTGGTGGCATATTTACCCAAGATTGACATTCACCAGCATAGTTGTACTGATTATTAAAATGATGAAATATTTCCAAACTAGTTGGTAAACTGCTAGTGCCATAACCCCCTTAGTGTACCACAATGGCCCCTTTCCCAGCCCCCTCAAACTCCTCTCAACCCAGTAGCTAGAGTGTTAATGCAGCACAACCAGGAATCTCTGCATTCCAAGCACCTCAGCAGCCTCTGACTCCTGGTGGGTGCCCACCAGGCCACCTGGAAAGACCTCCATCAGGGGATGTGTGATGGGGGCGGTGAGATGGGGGTGGAAAGGATCTGACCCAGGGAGAGGAATGCTGGAGGCTGCGCCCCTAGGACAAGAGTGCAGGACATGTGATGGGAAGGGTGTGCTACTCTGAGGACATGGTCAGGGGCATAAACAGAGCTGTGAGGCCCTGGAGAGAGAAAGGGCCCACAGGACCAGATCGGGATGGAGGGGCTGGGCCAGGCAGCAAAAGGTCACATAGGTAAAAAAAAGTTCCTGAAATGTGGGTGGCTCTGTGCGGGGCAGGCTAGAGGCAAGGCTTCTCAAACTTGCCTAGGCACAGCAATCACCTGGAATATCTTAAAAATTCCCAGAGGGTGATTTTGTGGGTCTGGGGTGCGCCTGTGGCATGAAGATTTTTAAGCTGCCCAGGTAATTCTGAGGAAACCGGGCCTGACGCTGGGCGTGAGAGACTAGCACGTGTGACAAGGATGGTCATTGGCAACTTACCAGGCCTGTGTGTCAGAGTCAGGGCTCTGGAGCAGCCCCTCCCCCAGGTCTGATGCCAGCTCTGCCACTGACTAGTCGTGTGACCCTGCAACAGGTATTTGAGCTCCCTGGTCCTCAGTTGTCACCTGACGTGAGCACTTTAAATGGCTGTTGCAAGGAGGGCCAGGAGGTACTGAGGAGGTACTTACATAGCCCAGCAGCTGCCACACAGCTAGCAGGCCGTGAGTGGGGGCTGCCACCACTGCCGCCATCACCACTGGTGCACACAGTTGTGAAGGGAGTCTCTTATCACTGCCGGATCCCTACACCCACCCAAAGATTAGGAAATCAGGATGAGAGAGGCCAGACTACCGCCCAGAGGTGCCTAGGCAGTTGTGGAGCAGCAAGGTTCTAAGCCTCCTGCCTGCAGAGGACTGCACTTTCCACCTCCCCACCAAGGTCACCACTGAAGGGATCCTGTGTCCCAGATCTTCCCAGGCAGGGCCGCTTGGCAACATCTCACCAACAACTACATGTCCTTTTTCTGGCTTAGAAAATATAGTCACTCCAGATACGACCCTCTCAAGGAAAAGACAAAACTGAGGCAAGGGTGATAGGACAGGGCAAATAGGGCACAGGAGGAATGGGACAGAAATAGGAAAGTTAGAGAATGCAGAGGGAGAGCTGGGTTCTCCCAGAGGTGTTGGAAGGTGTGCAGCGCTGACTGACCCCTCTGTCCTCGGCCTTAGGTGAGCAGTGCCAACTTCAGGGCTTCTGCTCAGCCAACCCCTGCATTGAACGGAGGGGGATGTCTGACCACCTACCCCCAGATCCAGTGCCACTGCGAACACAATGTCAATGAGTGTTTTCCAGACCCAGGACCCTGCCCCAAGGGCACCACCTGCCGTAACACCCTGGTGTCCTTCCAATGTCTCTGCCCCACTGGACAGGAAGATCTACACTGTGAGCTGTGGCCAGGACCCTGTCCCCCAACAGGCTGTCCCAATGGGGGCACCTGCCAGCTGGTTCCAGGGAGAGACTCCACCTTCCATCTCTGCCTCTGCCCCCCAGGTGTGTCCTCACAGGGGGCCTCCTGAAGCCCGTCCCTGGGCAGGCATGTTGTCTCCCGCCCTCAGCTGATCCCATGACCCTATCAGGTCTCACAGGCTTCAGTGGTAAGGTGAATCCGGATGACTGTCAGGCACCAGTATCAGAGTGGGGGCACGTGCCCAGATGGGAGGGGCACCTACACTTGCCTCTGCTCAGAGGCCTGGACTGGTGAGCTGTTTAAGCCAAGTTCATAGCACCAATGGCCCAGATGGTCAGGCCCTGACCTCCTTTCCCACGGGGCCCCCAGCTCCAGCTCGTGTCTCTGTCCTGCCCTCCTGCAGGCTGGGACTGCTCTGAAGATGTGGATGAATGTGAGCCCCAGGATCTCCCTCGCTGCAGAAACGGGGGTACCTGCCAGAACTCAGCTGGTGCCTTCCATTGTGTTTGTGTAAGTGACTGGGGAGTCACAGGCTGCAAGGAGAACCTGGACAACTGTGCTGCTGCCACCTGTGCCCCAGGATCCATTTGTGTTGACCACATGGGCTTCTTTTCCTGCCTCTGCCCACCTGGCCGCACAGGTGTGGGGCAGAGAGTCCTGGGAGTGGGGAGGAGAGGGGGTTATGAGAAAAGCAGGGGAGTATATGGGAGCTTCAAGTGGCCACTGAGAGCTTCACTCTACCCTCCCCCCACATCCTGCAGGCCTGCTGTGTCACATGGCGGACATGCGCCTGAGCCAGCCATGCCACGAGGAAGCCCAGTGCAGCACCAACCCCCAACAGGCGCCACACTCTGCCTGTGTCAGCCTGGCTACGCAGGGCCCACCTGCCACCAGGACCTGGATGAGTCAGATGGGTGAGGCACCCCTATATCAGATCTTCTCTGAGCCCCCAGAGAGCCTCTGCACAGAGACAAATTGTTTTCCAAATTAAAAATATAAACAACTCTTTTTCATGAATTTGTCCAAATTTAACTTTTCTTCCCTACATGGTCTTCTCACCAATGCTCAGCCCTTCAGAAGGAATTTAGTCCCTCTCCATCTTAAAGACACAGGCCTTTCCCAATATGGTCTCATCTACCACAAACAGGCCCCTATGCCCCGCAAGCAGCCTGGCCTTGTGGCCGTCCCACCCTGACCCCTGTGGACCCAGCTCTTCTCTCCTCCCAGCCCAGCGAGGCTCTGGTCCCTGTGAACATGGCAGCTCCTGTCTCAACCCCGCCCCACCCCACCCCCGCACCCCGTGCCTCGCCCCGCTGCCACCGTTTGCCTCTGTTCCCCTGGCTACCCAGGCTCCTGCTGCAAGGCCAATCACGAAGAATGCCTGTCCCATGCAGCACCTGACTGGACGTGCTTGCCACCTGCCACTGCCTCTGCCCACCAGGTACCAGCTGGGTGGGGGCCTTGAGTAGGAGAGACAGGACTAGTCCTGAACCCACAGGCCATTGCCCCTCCAGAGCAGAGCTAACCTCAGGCCAGTTGAGGTCAGTTACCCAAGAATGCTTCTCCTCCTCTCCTCACCCCAGATGAGGAAGCCCGTGGCCCCTGGGAGAAGGGCCACAGATGGCAGTAAGGTTGTGCACTGCTCAACTCTGGGGTGAGCAGGGAGCACTCATTTCATGGTCTTTGTAGAATACACAACCTGGTCCACTGTACATGGAGGCCCATCAGGGGAGAGCAGAACAGCAATTAATAAACTTCATGCCAACCCAGAATGCTCTTCCTAATACAGAAACTCTCCTCTGTTTCTTGACAGTAAAGCCTTCGAACTCCAGTTGCTTGAATTTGATGCAGCAGGAGAGGGATACTGCAACGCTGCACCCACCTCTACACTAGTTGTTAAGGGAAAAGTCTCCCCAGGGAGATAGTGACAGCCAACAATATCAGGAAATGGAATGAAACCAGCACAATAATAACTTACTTTGTGCTAGTTACAACCTAGGCACCTTACATGCATGATCTAATTTTTACAGTAACCCTGTGAGGTCAGCATTGTTACTATACCCACTTTATAAATGAAGAAACTGAAGCACAGACAGGTTATGTGACCTATCCAAGGTCATCCAGCTTGTAAGTGGCAGAGCCAGGATCCAAACCTGGGGCTTCGATGGTGTTAGCTACTCCACCACACTGCCTTTTTAAAGCTGTTCGATAATCTAAGGGACAAGGTTGTGGACATCAAGAAGCTTCAGAGGCAGGCTTCCCAGGCAAGAAGAGGGAGAGCAGCCGTGGTCCAGATGCTAATGAGCTTTGGTTCAGGATGAAACAGTGGACACCAGGACAAGCCTGAAGAAACAGGACAAATCTGAGAGAGACACAGCCTCCCCAATGCCCTTCGAATGTCCCTGTTGATGAGCCTGGTCTCCCTAGCACAGAGGCCTGCCCAGGGAGAACAAGAGTGGGTCACCTCCAAGCAGACGCCTACTTGTCTCATTTGTCCCTTGGGGACTTCCAGGCTGATCAACCTGCCTTCTGTGCACAGAGGAACGGCAAGTCCTCGCAGCCCCTCCCACCAGTCCCGGCAGGTGTCCTGCTCTTAGAGCTTTCTCACCAACGGGAGCAAAGCCACACAGCAGAGCAGTAGGGCTTCATGTTCATCTCTGCAACTCACATATACATAGCACCCTGGGAGGGGTTGCTAGATGGGGCACACGGCGGTGGGAGCAGAAGACCTGGCTGAGCCTCGGCCCTCACCACAACTCCACGTCCTCAGGCTTAGGAGAGTGGCTCCGAGATGGAGACCGACAAGTGTGCCTCGGCTCCTTGCTTGAACCAGGCCTACTGCCACAACCAGCTCAATGGCTTCCAGGGCACGCGCCTGCCCGATGAGAGCAGATTCTGCTCTACCCTCCGCCCCCAGGCCTCTGAGCCTCCACAGTTCAGGCCTGAGGCCTCTCGAAGCTTTCCTGGGACTACCAAGGACTCCACATTTCTCCAACTGTTCTGCTGTCCAAACCCTCCTCTGTTATATCCCCCAAATACTCCTTCCCTTGCTTACCCACCCATCCTCATCTCTGTGTTTCCAAATCACCCTAAAACCCTCCTTTCCAGACCTACCTCAGGGTCCACTGTATGCGCCTCTGCATATGAGGGTCCCGGGCCGATCCGGGCACTGCACATCAGGTACACAGGGAGAGCTGCCAGGCCGCTCCACTGCATCAGACACCTCTGTCCTCGGAGGCGATAATCACTGGTGTTTATTGAATATTTACTCTGGGCCACGCACATAGCTCTACTTTTCAGGCATTTTTTTTTTTTTTTTTACTCCTTTTAATGGTACCCTGAGGTCAATTCCATTATTAATCCTCTTCAGGGGAGGAAGCTGGAGCCCAGAGGAGCTCCATGTATTAAGGGTCAAGTAGCTTCCCAAAGTCACCCAGCTGGCGGGTGGCTGAGTTTCACCTTCCTGCATCGCCCTCCTATCACCCATTCCTGCCCCAAGAGTGTTCTCTGGGAAGCCCTCCGGGTTCACCTTTCCTGGCCAGGGGAAAGGCCAAGACTGGTATTTATGGTTTTTTTAAAGACTTTACTTATTTTTAGAGAGAGGAGAAGGGAGGGAGAAAGAGGGGAGAGGAACATCAATGTGTGATTGCCTCTCGCACACCCCTAACTGGGGACCTGGCCTGCAACCCAGGCATGTGCCCTGACTGGGAATCAAACCTACAACCCTTTGGTTTGCAGGTCAGAGCTTAATCCATTGAGCTACACCAGCCAGGGCTATGCTTTTGATAAAATGTATTTTCAGCATTAGTAAATATATCCAGTGATGCCTTATTTATATGAAGAATAAAGTCACCAAGTTATGCTCTGTTACATCCTGAAACTCAAATCACTATTTAAGAAGCCCTCAAATCGGTGCCTTCATTATATAATGATACATTTCGACAAAACCCCAAACCAAACCTTTTGATCTGTAGCAAAGTCATTTCTGTATATGTAAAGAGAGACTAAATATCAGTGTAAACCCTTAATTCCTTCTTCAAATCCATGAAATCATGCCTGTAAAGCTCAGTCTAACATTTGTAACAAGCTCCCTAATAAATGTAGAGGAAAAAAAAGGTGCCCTTCACCATCTGTCCCACCTACTCCAGCCCCAGCAGGATTCACAGGCTCCCGCTGTGAGGAGGATGTCAACAAGTGTGGCAGCTCTCCCTGTGCCAATGGTGGGTAGTGCCAGGACCAGCCTGGGTCCTTCCATTGCAAGTGTCTCACAGGCAGATGGGCTCAGACACCGGAGGGAGAGTGGGGGCCAGAGGCAGACTGCCCAGGCCCCTTGGCTTGCCGCTGTGCCATAGGCTTTGAAGGTCCACGCTGGCAGGTGGAGACAGGTGAGTGTCTGAGTGGCCCATGCCCCATGGGCCCCAGCTGCCTTGATCTCCCAGGAGTCTTCTTTTGCCTCTGTCCCTCTGGCTTCACAGGTCAGCAGGGGAGTCGATGGCAAGCACTGGTGGGGATATTTGAGTCATTTTGGGGTAGTACAGAGGTCACTGGTGGGTGTTTGAGGGTTGGGATGTGAGATTTGAATGACAGCAGAACACCTTATTCAGTGCAAAACTGGCATGACTATACAACCATGAGCTGAGGGTAGAGTTACTGTAGGGCCCTCTGGGCCTAACATGAATGGTTAACAAGCATTTATTAAGTGCTGACCATGCCAGACACAGACACAGCGTTGAGTAAGAGAGCTGCCATCCTCAAGTGGCTTTAAATCTAGGGCAGAAAGACTAACAAGTCTCTTGTTCATTACGGCCCAGAGAGGCGCTCTGAGAGCAGAATGCACAGGATGCCAGGAGCACAGAGGACACACCAACCCAGACTAGAGATGAGAGGGCTTCATGAGCTGAGTCTTGAAAAATGATTGAGAGTTTGTCAAGATAGAAGGCCAGACAGCATGTTTTAGCTGCAGATGCTACACATGCAAAGGTGCAGAGGGAGGAAAAGGCCACCCCACTTCAGGAGCTGAAGGACACCCAGAGCTTAGGGTGCAACAGGGCAAAGAGGAGAGACATAGAAGTTGTAGGAAGGGCCTGTCCTACAGGACCCCATGTGCCATTCTGAGGACGTTAGACAGTATCCCGAGGCAATACAGTAGGGAACTGAAGGGCAAGTTGATGAGCAGTGAGCACGTTGTATGTAAGAGTGGCCTTTAACCCCATCAAGGACATGGAGGGACCCTGTTTTCTCTCTGACCCATCTACCCACCCCAGGGCATCTCTGTGAGGTTCCCCTGTGTGCCCCCAACCTCTGCCAGCCCAAGCAAAAATGCCCAAGCATCGGAAGGACAAGACCTCTCTGCCCCTCCACTGCCTCTGCCCCAGTGGAAGCCCTGGCTGTGCCCCCACTGAGGACAAGTGCACCTGCCAGCACGGGCGCTGCCAGAGGTAACATCTCCCAGACATTTTGCATTTGCACTTGCCTCTAGGTCTTCAGCCTGGGCAGGAGAAGACAGCCAGCAAAGGGCAAGTCTGTGGGAAATGACCAATGGGGAAGAGCGAGGAGACAGCAAAGGTCTGACTGCGGTCACAGCCAATGGGAAGGCTGGATTGGTGAGTATTATCCAATGAGGGGATAGTTCATAAATAATGGGGAGAACAGAGAACTAGAGGGTCAGAGCAGAAAGAAGAGCATTAAATCCCAGGGTCAATCCATGATCCAAACATTTATTGAGCATCTGCTATGTGTGAATATTGTTCTAGGGTCTGGGCGAACAGCATAGAACAAAGAAGACAAAGTGCTCTTAAGGAGCTTTCATTCTAATGAGGAAAGATAGGTGATAAACATTATAGAAGGAATATATCTATTTAGTTGGAGAAAATGAGCACAGGGGAGGTGAAAGGGGGACAATGCTAAGAGCAAAGACACTGAAGAAAAGGGCCAGAGTCTCAGGGCCAAAAAATGAAGAGGTCCTAGGGGTCTGTCCAATGGGTAGGGAAGGAAAGCAAACCCTCCCCTTTCTCTTTATGGCCAGATCCTCACATGTGTCTGACGTGGGTTGGACAGGACCAGAGTGTGAGGCAGAGCTGGGGGTCTGCATCTCCATGTCCTGGCCCATGGGAGGACCTGCCACCCCCAGCCCTCTGGCTCCAACTGCACATGCCCCACAGGCTACACAGGTGAGGCATTCCCTAAACTATATACGCCCAGGGCTGGCCACCCTCTAAATAAAAGGTAAGGCCAATGGAGACAAGTGGCAAAGGGCTCTCAGTCTGTCACCACCAAGGAAAACTGGGCACAAGCTACAGAGGACACAGGTGATGTGCGGAGGTGGTAAGAAAGAAAAGCTGTTGAGTAGAGGAGAGTAGGGGTGGGGATGAAGAAAGGAAGGAAGGGAAAGGGAGGAGGAATGAGAGAAGAAAAGGAGGGTTCTCTTTCTCAGTCCCCACCTGCTTCCCTCAGGGCCCACCTGCACTGCAGAGCTGACAGCTTGTCACTCAGGCCCTGCAAGATCCAGCCCGTCCTGCTGCTCAGGCCTCATGTCTCCTCATCCCACCTTCCCAGTCTCTGCTCTGGCAACACGAAACTGCTACTGGCTTCCCTGCACAACCCACTCTGGCTTCCTGATGGCCCTCCCCACCCCTCTTCCACTGGATGATACCCAGGGGTCGCCTTCCTCAGAAGGATGTCCTGAACTTCCCTCCAGGCTGGGTTCAGGCCTCTCCTTGGTGGTCATGTCACTGAGCAAGAGAGGCAAACCTGAGATTCAAGTCTGAGCCACCTGATTCCTATATTCAGAACCACAAGTCCAGATAGAAGGCACCATGCACTTAACCTAACCTTAACTTTTGATTGTGAACATTTTCACACACACACAAAAACAGTGTACTGATCAATAGGAATCCCCGCACCTGTTACTCAGCCTTACTTCCTCTTTCATGAAACTCCCTCCAGAAGTTTCCAAAGCACCCTCCTCATCTGCTTCTTCCAGCCCTCTGGTCATTTTTGTTTTTGTTTTGTTTTGTTTTTTAACAACTTAGTAGTTTCTTTTTATTTATTGATTTTGAGAGACAGAGAGGAAAGGAGAGAGAGAAATGTCAATGTAGTTGATTCTTGTATGTACCTGGACCAGGGATCGAACCTGCAACCTTTGTGTATCAGGACAACACTGTAACCAATGGAGCTTCTAGCCAGGGCTCTGGCCACTTCTTTGTTAATGCTTTTTTCTCCACCTTTCTGAAGACTTCTTGGTATTTCATTCTTGCATGCTCACTTTCCTCTTGCAGGAACTCAGCACATGGTGCAGACCTCATCGTGTGACTCCTCTTTCCAGTAGAATGATATAAAACAATCAGAAAATGGTTAAGGGCATCGGTTATAGAGTCACAGAGTTGCACTGAATACCAGCTCTGCCACCTACTAGCTGCGTGACTTGTAGACATCACTTAATCTTTCAAGGAATCAATTTCCATTTCTGTGAAATGAGAATCAAATGAGATAATCCATATAGACGGTTTTTAGGGGGGCTTTATAAGGTTATGCATATAAATCATGCAAGAAGTTCTGTCTCTCCTGGTTGCCTGAAAACTTCATGGAAGCAGGGATGAATTCTGGTTTTCTTTTTATTCCTGCTGCATAAAATGGTGACTGGCACAAAGTAGGCATTCAATAAATGCTTACAAATTAATAAAGCCTGACACAGCCTGGTGGGTGTGTGGGTGGGGAGAGAGGTTTAACCAAAAAATGGAGCTATGTTTAGTGGCAGTGTGTCCTAGAGATTGTATGGGACTGGAGCAGTGGAAGGTTAAGTTGTGTGTTATTGAACAATTGTGTGTCATGTGGGGTCGATATGGCTGAAGCTAAATGTGGCCGTGATGACTGGTGAATTGAGTGACACTGTGGAGCTGGAAGGTAAGAGCTGGGCAGACAGTCTTGAGCTGGGTCCCCTGTAGTGCTGGGGTGGGCTCTCTTCCTGGTTCCATCTCTTTGCTTGCAGTGTGCCCCAGGCTACAGTGGACAGAGCTGCTCAAAGGAACCCAATGCTTGTCAGTCCCAGCCCTGTCACAACCATGGGACCTGCACCCCTAAACCTGGAGGCTTCCACCGTGTCTGCCCTCCAGGCTTTGCGGGGCTGCACTGTGAGGGGGATGTGAATGTGCCTGGTCCAGCCCTGCCCCTCAAAGACACTGCAGCCTGCCACTCTCTAGCATATGCCTTCTACTGCCAGTATCTGCCTGGACACACAGGTGAGGCCTAGGATGGGGGTGAGGTGGGGCATAGGCATCCCTGTAGCACAGCTGAGCTGACCGTGGAAACCCAGACAATCCCTTCCCACGTGGCAGCCTCGTCACCTTGTCCAGCCTCACACGCCAGCCCAGAGAATATGACCCAGGATCCCTCTGCCCTCTGCAGTTAGTGCTGGGCCAACTCCCAGGAATGAGCTAGAAAGGAGGCAGTGGCCAAAGCAGTGTGTGACATCGAATCCCACCCCCGCCTCAGGCCAGTGGTATGAAATGGAGACAGACCCCTGCCAGAGCCAGCCCTGCTCCCATGGAGGGTTTTGTGAGGCCACAGCAGGACCACCGCCGGGTTTCAGCTGCCACTGTCCCAAGGTGAGTGACTGCAAAGCTGCCTTCTCTATAGCCCGCAACACTGACACAAGGTTGCAAAAGCCTGAGCTCGGATCCTGGAGGGGAACCTGGGAGCACTGGTGTGGGAATCATTGGAGAAAGCCATCCCTTGGTCACAGAGTTGAGCACCTCTCAGAACACAGGGGTGGGAGAGGGTGGGATCAAGTGGTAGCACAAATGGAATTTTCAGAAATCATGGGCATTGACCAAGGGAAGGTCTCCAAGGTCAAGCTGGGTGACCTTGGATAAGTTCTTAGTTCTTTTAACTCTGTGTGTGCATATGTGTGTGTGTGTGCGCGCGCGTGCGCACTGTGGTCCTCAGGTGCATACATACAATTAGGTTAATTTTAAGCCTTCATTCATAATACACTTACACCACTGGTTTGTGCATGGCTTTCTATTATTTTATTATTCTTACAATATAACACCCATGAATCGAACCCAAGCATTACAATATTAATAACTTACATGTACTTAGGTCCTCTGTCCTGTTTCCCTACCAGAGGAAGAATAAGTATATAATTCTATTTCTAAGGATTAAGGTAATATTAGTCAATTAATATTACTCTGTTAACTGGTTAGTATGCCAGGACTTGCATCGCAATACTACAGTTCATCCAGCTTGTTGCACATAGCTGTGGTTCATCCATTTTCACCACTATGTAATGTCTGTATGGGACATGGTTTCAACATCTATAAAAATGATTAACTTTAAGTTTCCTGAGGCCCCCTCCAGATATGAGCCTCTAGGTCCCTGAGTTATTTTAATCCCAGAGTTTGCTTGGGGCAAGTAGGAATAATAATGCAAGGTCCTTCCCCAGAATCTCTTCTCTCCACAGGGTTTTGAAGGCCCCACCTGCAGCCACAGAGCCCCCTCCTGTGGCCTCCATCATGGCCACCACGGTGGCCTGTGTCTGCCCTCCCCCAGGTCCGGCATCCCACCCCACTGTGTCAGCCTCCGTGGCTGCACAGTCAGGCCGACTGCCTGACCCCACCTGCGCAGGGCTGTGGCCCTCCTCTTCCTTGCCTGCACAACAGCAACTGCTCAGAGACCTCCACGCTGGGGGGCCCAGGCTTTCGGTGCTCCTGCCCTCCCAGCTCCCCAGCGCCCGTGTCAGAGACCCAGAGCAAAGAGATGTGAGGGCACAGGCGGGGACAGGGCCTGTGATACTGGCCGCAGTGGCCCAGAAGGAAACTGGGATGGGGGACGGCTCCCTGGAGGTCCTGGGCCCTTGGAAGGGCTGCCCCTCCCACTCCTGTTGCTCGCTTCTCGTCCAGATGGGCAGTGCCATCCGCAGTGTGACTCTGAAGAATGTCTGTTTGATGGCTACGACTGTGAGATTCCTCCAGCCTGCACGTGAGCCTGAAACCCTGATTTGGGGTTGGGTGCCATGGTGAGGGCAGGAGAGACGTAGATGCCTCTGAGTTACAGTGTGACCGCAGCCTCAAACTCCAAGGAGTTTCCGCCCTCGTAAGCATTGCTAAGAAGAGGTAGAAGACCCTACATTCCATCCTAGGGAGACAAGCAGCATCAATTTAATGGGTGACCAAGAACAGGCACTGCTTCGGCCTGTGTTCTTTGCTGAGAGCTCTGGGTTCAAGCCCCTAAGCCCCGCAGCCACAGAGTACTTACCAAAGCAACCTGCCCCGCTGACAGGAAAGGACCTCAGGCTCTCCTTCAGGGAGACAGGAGAGCTTGGGAGGGTAGGAAACAAGGTGTCCATTAGGGTGTCTGGGCTACCTATCAATCAGGGCCTGACTAAGCGCATTTCTATGGAGCTGCCCCCGCTTAGCAACCAGTGCCCTACAGGCTGCGGAATATCAGGAATCCTCTCTGAGACGGAGGGAGTCAGGTTTCTTTGGGGGTCCTGAGTGCTCCTCTACTCACCCCACAGCCCAGCCTATGACCAGTTCGGCCATGATCACTTCCACAATGGGCAATGCAAGAAAGGCTGCAACACTCCAGAATGTGGCTGGGATGGGGGCACCTGCAGGCCTCCTGACGGAGGTGGGAATTCCAAGCGGGGGCCTTCCCTGGTCTCACCAGCGCCCCAGCCAACCAGCAGCTACTTTCCCTGGCCCAGGTACTGCCCCTGACTGAGGGTAGAGCTCTGTGTGAGGAAGGATAGTGACAGCAGAGACATGGTGTACCCCTTTCCTGGGGCCCAGGCCAAAGAGGAGCTAGGATGAATCCCAGACCCCTCTCATCAGGAGACAGCAGCCCCTCAAACGCAGCCTGTGGGCAAGGAGACGGACTCCCTCAGCACAGGGTAAGAAGGTGAGGCGGAGGGAAGGGAGCCAGGGAGGGACCCACACAAGGGTCTCTGAGGTGCCTTCCCTGCAGGTTTGCAGTGATGGGTGTGGATTTGTCCCACTGTGGCCCTGACTACCCTGCATCCCACTGTCCCTGGGACCCTGGACTCCTGCTCTGCTTCCTTGCTGCCAATGGCTGCAGTGGGAGCCCTAAAGCCCCTACTGCCAGGACCGCTGCTGGCTGCTCCCCCTCGTGCAGGCACTGGTAGGTGGCCCTGTGCCTTCCCCTGACTCTGCTCCCAGGCCAGCTTTCATGCCAGTAACCAGCAATGGAGAGCAAATGAAAAAGGATCGCTGGGTCTCAAATGCTGTTTGTGGGGACTTACCCTTGTTAACCTCTTTTTCTCTAACTGGAACTTCCCATGGCCCATTTGCTCTACAATCTCCTTCCTTATTTTCCTAAGGACTTTATTCTAACCTCTATCATAGATCTCCCACCAACCTCAGGTTTTGATCCATCCTCTCTATTAGACAGAATGTATCCAATCATTCCTGCATTCATTCAGAGCTCATAAAAGAATAAGACCTTTTACATCGCACTCACTATGCCAGGCTGTGCTCTAAGTGCTTCACAGTGTTAAGTCCTTTTATCCTCCCAACAATGTCATTGAGGAAGATGCTATTGATATTCCTATTTTACATATGAGGAAACCGAGACCCAAGGGTCTCACAGTAGTACCCAGCCCCACCTAGAATGGCCTCCTTTTGACTATGTCTCTCACCAGTGACCAAGAACATGGTCTTGGTCCATGAACCCCATGTACATGGGGTACCCCCAGCCAACCAGCTTCCCTGGCCTGTGCTGTGCCCACTGGTGGCTGGGGTGTTTCTCCTGGCCCTCGGGACTCTTCTCGTACTCCAGCTCATCCGGCAGCAGCAACAGCAGCAGCACCAGGAGCACGGGACCCCCTGGCAGCCCCCTGGATTTACTCAAAGGCCTCGGACTCAGCCAGCTCCTTGCCCACGCCAGCCACCACTGGGTAAGCATCATCCTCAAGTGAGATGAGGAAGAACTGGGGCTCAGGGAGTGAACTCGTGCTTCTGAAGATATTTATGATTAGAGGCAACAAGAGATGCCATTGCAGAAGTTGAAAACAAGAAGGGGAAAGGGATAGCAAGGCTGCTGGAAACCTTGTGGACCCTGAAGGTCCTCTACCCACTCACCCTCTTCCAGGACACTGAAACCAGAGGCAGAAGTTGATGAGGATGGAGTTGCAATGTGCTTAGTCACTGAAGAAGAAAAGGAGGTAGGCTTGGTGAAAGCACGGAGGCAGATAGAAGGGTTAAAGGGACAAGTCAACCTTCTTTCATTAATTGTTTTTCAGATCCCAAGGCTGAAGAAACGGCCTCACCTGCCAAGTGCCAGCTCTGGTCTCTGAGTGGTGACTGTCAGGAGCTCCTCCAGGCAGCCATGCTGACTCCTCCCAGGAGTCTGAGATGGATATCCCTGATATGGATACCCATGGACCTCGTATGTGAACCAACTCAGACCAAAAAAAATCTTTGACCCTTAGAATCAAAAAATGGTTTGATATCAGACCTGGAGAAACAAATGTTAAAGTTAGTGCCTTAGAATGGTGATTTTCAAAATGTGGTGCTGGGACAAGAAGAATCAATATCATCAAGGAAATTGTTAGAAATTCTCAGGTCCTGATCGGTGTGGCTCAGTTGGTTGGGTGTTATCCCATAAAGCGAAAGGTCGCTGATTCAATTCCCAGTCAGGGCACTTGCCTGGGTTGTAGGTTCAGTCCCCAGGAGGAGCAAGAGGTAACTGATCAATGTTTCTCTCCTTTCCCCTCGCTCTAAAAATAAAATCTATGTTGAGGGAGAGGGAAAAGGAGGGAGAAAGGGAGAGAAACATCGATCGATTGCCTCCTGCACATGAACCAACGAGGGACCAGCCCACAGCCCAGGAATGTGCCCTGGCCAGGAATCAAATCAGCGATCTTTCACTTTGCAGGGTGATGCTCAACCAACTCAGCCACACTGGTCAGGTCAATAAATAAAATCTTTTTTTAAAAAGGGGGTGGGGGGAGGAAGGAGAAAGGGAGAGGGAGAACGGGAAAGAAAAACAAAGGGAAAGGAAAGAAAGAGAAAGGGAAAGGAAAGAAATAAATAAGGAAATATTCATTCTCAGGCTCCACTCCAGAGCTCCTGATTCAGATAATGAGGAATCTGTTTGCACCAAGTCCTCCAGGTGAATCTAATCCAAACTCAAGTTTGAGAACCACTGTCCTAGATTATTAGAGAATTAAGACCTGCTTGTTCCTTTTAGAGATGTGGAAACTGAAGCCCAGAGACTATAAGTCACTTGACTAAAGCCACACAAAATCAAGAGCCAGAGATGGGCTTCCTGACACCTCAGGCTGTGATTCTCCCTGAGGCTCCATGTTCTCCAACCCCCCTTATGTCCTTATATTGACGTCTCCCATCCCTTGTCTCCCACCCACAGATAGGGTGACACTCCTGGTATCAGCAGTCTACTCTGGGGGAGTGGAGTCCAGGACCTTCCAGGGGGCATGGCTGGAAAGTTCAGAGTCCTGGGATCCTCTGTTAGATGGAAGGGCCTGCCCCCAGGCTCACACTGTGGGGACTAGAAAGACCCCTCTGCACCTGGCTGCCCAATTCTCCCAGCCAACTGCAGCCCGCCACCTCTTTCAGACTGGAGCCAACCCCAACCAGCCAGACAGAACAGGGCGCACACCCCTTCATACCGCTGTGGCTGCTGATGCTTGGGAGGTTTGCCAGATCAGTGCACCATGGGGTCACCGAAGAGAATGGGGACCCAACTTGGAAGCAAGGCTGAACAAAAGCTTTCTCTAGGGTTTGGTAAAGAGGAAGGTGATATGAGATAGGGACCTGAAAGGGAAACAGGAACAGATGGCTGAATACAGATTGGGAGGTGATTAACAGTGCGAGGCCCCTGAGCTAGAAGCCCATACCAGGGGTCACTGGCCCTGCCTGGCCCTCCAGCTCCTACTCCACAGCAGGCAGGCCACAGTGGATGCAAGGATGGGACCACGGCCCTGATGCTGGCCGCCAGGCTGGCAGTGGAGGACCTGGTTAAAGAATTGATTTCAGCCCAAGCAGCTGTGGGAGCCAGAGATAAATGGGATATGGATCTGGGGGTGGGGAGATTAATGAGCTATAGAGAAGCTGAGCAGCAGGGGTGTGAGATAAAATGTGTGGGGCGGGGGGAACAGCAGAGGAGCAACTGAAGGCTGGGGCATTCCCTCCCACCCTGGTGTCAGGGTGGTAAATCTGCGGTGCGTTGACAGAATAAAGCAAGTGCCTTCCCCCATCATCTTCAACGATACACACCGTCCTGGCCCAATGTAAACTAGGATGGGGAGGCACTGTCGGTGAGAAGGCGGAGGGGTCTCCAGGTTCCACCGGCCCCAGAACAATGCCCCATTGTCCCGTCAACGCGCCGGTGACGTCACCAGGGACAACAATTCCTGCCCGCCTGTGGTCACCCGGGCAACGCTTCCGCCTTTGAGGGACCGGGGAGCCCACCGGCCCGGATAGCCCTTCCCCCAAAACCACAATCCTTGGGAAAAGGGAATCCAGGTGTCTAATCCCACCCTAAGGGTGACAACCTCTCCTGTCGTTCCCCAGGAAAAACCAGTCTGCACTGGGCCGCCGCCGTGAACAATACCGGGGTCGCCCGCTCCCTTCTCCAAGCCGGAGCCGATAAGGATGCCCAGGACGGCAGGGTTATAACGGGTGGAGGGCTCCCTATAAAAAAGAAAGGGAGAAGGGGGGGAAGGGGGACGGGGGGACGGGGGAGAGGGGGAGGGGAGGGGAGGGGAGGGGAGGGGGAGGGGCGGGAGAGGTGGAAAGTTCAGGAACTCCCCCAAACTAGACGGGCAGGGGACCAGCAGTCAAGTAGGTGGAGTCACAAAAGGCCAGTCTTGTGTGTATGGCCTTCTCTGACCTCCCTAATGGCGGTTTCCTCCCACGGAGGAGCAGATGCCACTGTTCCTGGCCTCCCGAGAAAGGGAGGTGGAGGTAGTCTAGCTACTAGAGCGCTGGGGGCGGTCAGAGGACTGAGGGATCAAGCGGGACTAGCGCCTGCAGACATCGCTCACTAGAGAAATCAGCTGGGATCTGCTGGCTCTGCTTCAAAGGGGGGGGCCACCAGGGACGCGTCACAAAACCACGCCGAGCCGCGGGGCGGGAGCCTTCGCGCGTGCGCAGACCGCCTCGGGAAGCGTGCTGCCGCGCGTGTACGGGGCTCTGTTGCGCAGCCAGACGCTGTCAGCGGGAACAGTCCCGCACGGGGGCGGAGTAGGTCTGCAAACCCAAACTTTGTCGGTAGATTTGGCCGCGCGTGGGGGCGGGGCCTATTCGCAGTGCCAAAGCCAATCGAAAGGAGAAGCCGGAAGAGGCCCGCCCCGCGGCCGGAGGTTTTCCGCAGTCGTGTGCGAGCCGCGGCGCAAACGTGCAGTGGTACAAGGAAGATCCGGGGTCGCGGCCTGGAGCGGGGGTGTGGCCTCAGCTGACTGGCCCTGAGACTGGGTGGCCTTGGGTGCCTCCGGTCCCACCTCCAACACTCTGATTCCGCCTTCTTGCCTTTTTCCGTCCCCGGATCGGGAATCTCGAGTTACCTGTAGTCAGTCCCCCAGCCCACCAAGTAATACCCTTAAATGCAATAAGCGAAGGTCAAAAGTAGAAGGCTAATGACAGGGTGGGATTCTAAAAGTGAGTACCTATTAAGTGACCATCTGGCAGTTCTCCAGATTTTAAAGCTCTCTGAGCCCCAAAAGTAGGGGATCGGGAATATAGCGTCCCCCCCCAAATAAGTGTGTGCCCACTCACAAACGTCATCTTCCACGTGGAGAAGAGTTGAGGGTGCTGGGATGAAGCGGGCCCAGTCCGTCCCCCAGAAAGTAAGAGTGAGGGACTTCAGGAGGGTGGGGTGGAGTAGGCCAAGTACCCTGAACTAGAACCAAGAGCTACAGATAGATAGGATGTAAGATGTTCTTTCCTATCTGTCTTTGGTTCCCAAAAGCAGCCTTTATATCACTCCCACTACCTACAAGCAGCTAACAAATATTTATTAAACACCTGCTACGTGCCAGGCATTGCAGGTGCTGGGTGGCAGGAGTGTCAAGGGCCACTCCAGCTGCTGACGCCTTTCATTCTCACTACCCCTGCCCCCAACAAATCACTGCAGGGATGGAGCACCACTCTTATAGCCACTGCTATCTCTATTTAAGAACCCCAAATCTGTCACCAGATAATAATGCTGATGTAAAGTGTTGCCCACTTGTGAAGGGTTGGGGAGTGCAATGGAAAAAATAAGGGAGTGACCACACAGCCTTTTCAGAATTTTGTTTCCCAAATTCTATTTGGATGGAGAATTTCAGTATAGTTTAAGAGCAAGAATAAGATTTGAAGGTCCTATGTTAACTTAGGGTATCATCTGAAAGCAAGAATCTATAGTAGACCAAGGAGAAGCCACATACTAGACCCTTTGTCCATCTTACAAGGTCACTTAGGAAACTCACAGGGGCTCAAGTTAGGTAGAGGAAGTTGGAGAGGACATTTCAAACAATCCAATTTTCAGCAATGTGGCTACACCTTTTTCATGGTGGTGATGAGCCTGAGACTTGAATGCTGGAGGCATTTTGAAAGCTAATATTGTACAAGCATACCTCATCTTGGTGTGCTTCACAGATATGTTTTCATTAACATTGAAGCAAAGACCTGGCAACAAAAAGATTGACTCACCGAAGGCTCAGATGATGGTTAGCGTTTCTTAGCAATAAAGGGTTTCTTAGTTAAGATATGATCATTGTTTTTAAGATAATGCTGTTGCACACTTAATTGACTACAGTATAGTTGTAAGCATATGCACTGGGAAACCGAAACATGTCACTTTATTGTGATAAGCACTTTATTGTGATAAGCACTTTATTGTGGTGGTCTGGAACCAAACCCACACTACCTTTGACATATGCCTTGTAATAACTACCATTTATTGAGCATTCACTATACCAAGTGCTTTATCACATTTCATCCTCACATCAACGATTAGGTCTACTAAAACTCGATTTAACTCAGAAACTGAGGCAGATTTTATTTGGCCAAGATTGCAAGGCATTTAAGTGGCAGGACTAAGCTCTTCATCCCATTTCGTGTTTGAAGTCACTCAGCTGTAAACACCCTACTATGACAGGTTTCCATGTAGAGGTCCCAAATGTCTTATCTGTTGTGCTTCCACCTTGGTACCAGCCAGCCTGATCAGCACAAATCAAAGACCAAGCCAGGGAGGTGGTCCTCTCTTTTTTTCATTTCTATATCCCTCATTCAGGACCAAAGGAAAGTTTTCCCTGGCCCATGCCTCACATTTGGTGCGTATCTTGTCTGCTGAATAGACCAAGCACCTAGAGGGCAGGATTAACTATTCAACACATCGATTGGACCGTCACTGTGCGTTGGACACAGTGCTAGGGGTGTATGTATGAGGGTCTGACATCCCTGGATCTGACTCCTGCTTCCCACTGTCCCCGTCCCAACAAGGCTGGGAAGCAGGGAAGGCCAAATCCTATGTCAGGGTCCATCTTAGGGAGAGAAAGGACCTGGGGGTGAGGGTTTGGAGGAGTGAAACCACTTCCTGTGCAGCTAGTTCCTGTGTTGACAGAGCTGAAGGGGAGGAGGGGATAGAGCTGAAAAGAGGGGGGTGGGGCAGGGACTGAGGCCCTAGAGATGGAAAGGCCAGAAGTTCTGGCCCACCTTGAAACCTCTCCACTACTGTGCTGGAGGAGCTTTTGGCAGTCTCTGCTCCCCTGGGGAGAATGAGGTTGAGCAAGCAGTTTGGGTGGGAAAAGAGAGCTGGAGGAAGTTGACAGGGATGGGCGGGGCCGTGGGGGGTGTTGACCAGGAACCCAGCTTCCTGCTTAGTACCCAGACATCCAGCCCCCGGCTCACCCCCACCCCTTCCAGCCCCCACTCCCCTCAGGAACTAAGGGTTCCGGCCCTCCAAATCCTTGCTACCCCTCCCCCGTTGGTTTCTCCCCTCCAGGGGATGGAGGCTGAGAGACCCCAGGAAGAAGAGGATGGTGAGCAGGTAAGCTGGCACCCGGTGGGGGAGGCTGACCCTGCGAGAAAAGGAGGTGAGAGAATCTGAGCAGAGACCTAGTGATGGTGGACTCAGGGGGACTTGGAAGGGCTTGGGCACACTGGGGCAGGGACAGAGACAAAGGGAGAACAAAAAAAGGCCACTGGCCTAGCCCCCTGCCCACCCTACCCCTGCTTGAGTGGAATGGATGTCTCAGCATCAGGGCCCCCATCAGGATGAGCACAGCTGGCCCCCTGTGACCATCAGCACTCGGCCTTGGCGATCTGCTCCTCCATCCCCTCCTCCAGGGACCCGCCTCACAGGTACTTCCACCCACCCAGGGAGATCCCTGACCCTGGTGCCCACATCTTTCCTGATCCTATTACCAGAGTCTACTCCATCATGGGCTTTTTTCCCACCTTCTCTGAACTCCCCATTGTACGCCCTTACCTCTGAGCATCAGTCCCTGATCACCTCTGTCCCTGTCCCCGTCCCCATCCCCTGCCAACTTCTCTGAGCCCTTCCCCTCCTCTCTCAGCCCTGGGACCCCGCTCGGCCTCCCTGCTCTCCCTGCAGACTGAGCTCCTTCTGGACCTGGTGGCTGAGGCTCAGTCCCGTCGCCTAGAGGAGCAGAGGGCCACTTTCCAAGCCCTCCACAATCCCCCAAGACTAGCCCCAGCCCCACCCTGGCCTCTTGAGGACAGAGAACAGCTCTACAGCACCATCCTCAGTCACCAGGTGAGACACCCTCTTACACACACACACACACACACACACACACACACCCACCCACCACCACCCTACCACCACCACCCCCCGGAAGCAAGACTTAGGTTTCCTGGTCTCTTTGCCCTATTCTCTTTGGGGCCCTACCCCTCCATCTCCCCAGGTACCTGTATTTGCCTCCTCCCCAGGTCCTAGTCCCCCTAATCCCATCACATGCTCCTCAAACCAGCCCTGGCTCCTTTCAAGGCCTGCTCCTCTTAGAGCCTCACCAACGCCTTTCCCTCCACCCATTCCTCCAGTGCCAGCGGATGGAAGCCCAGCGGTCAGAGCCTCCCCTACCGCCAGGGGGGCAGGAGCTCCTGGAATTGCTGCTGAGAGTTCAGGGTGGGGGAAGAATGGAAGAACAAAGGTCCCGGCCCCCCACGCACACGTGCTGAGACTTGAGCCCTCCACTAGTCCCTCTGCGCTCCTGAGTCTCGAAGCTGGGCAGCCCACTGCATGCCCTCAACCCTGCTTGGCAGGGGCACCAGAGACTAGACCCAGCAGAAATCTCAATACTCATCACCCTTATTCACACTCTCTGGAAAGTGATGGGGGTGAATGTCCTCAAACCCTGGGAATAGTCAAGGTAGGATAGTCATTTAAATCCCTCCCTGAGTACATGGGAGCTTGAGGCAGTGATAGGATCCCAGCCACCAAAGGACATCCCATCACTACTCTGATCTCAGGGAGTAGCTTGGAGTCTTGGTCCTAAACTGGGGGGACACCCCCAGTAGTCAAGCCACCACTAGGCAGGATCTGAGGCCTCAGGCCTCCAGTTCCCAAGAAAAGGCCAATCTCCTAAGGTTGTGACCTGAAGGACAGTTCCACCCTCTTTCCAAAAAAGAAGAAAAAGAGGGTGGGCACAGCAAAGAGATAGAGACTATTCTCCCACGCGACAACGAGCACGTCCCAGCCCCAGGACTAGGGGGCCTCCAGGCTGTGAATGGACACAGCTCCGCCCACCGTCCCTCTCCACCGCTGCTCTGCGTCTGTCTGATGTTTTGATTGTATGAATAAATGTAATTCCCTTCTGGACTAAGACTGATATCTGGGGCTGCGGGCGGAGCGTAAGGGCAGTGAGGCCTGAGGCTGCCTCTCTCCCCAGTCTGGCCCGGGGCCAGCTCCCCTCCTTGGCTGGTTAATTACTGGCTTATTAAGCAACGGCTGGAGACCTCCTTAATTAGCCCCCCCTCCCGGCGCCCCTCTCCTGATTTTAATTAAGTAGAACAGGGAGGGGAGTCATTAGAACAAGAAATATGAACTGAGCTGTCTGTGAACCCAGGCATTCCAGCAGCCACAGCTCAGACCACCTAGGTCCCTGATTCAGAACCCTGGTATCAGGACCTCCGCCCCAAACGTCCCGGGCCCAGGCTGCAGAAGTCCAGCCCCCCGGCCTTCCCTTGTTTTCTCCGATGGGCCAGTATCCTCCCCGCATCCCCTTTTCCTTCTCCCTTCCTCCACTCGTTCTCAGTTCCTCCCAGTCTCTCTCCGCCCCGAGCTCCTCCCAGTTTCTCCTCTCTTCTCCCCTCCTCTTCCTCCCCGCCTCCCCTCCCCCAGCCTCCCTCCCTCGCTCCCCCCCTTCTGCCTCCTCCCTCCTCCCTCTCTCTTACACACACCCCCGCTTGGGCCTCCTCTCTCTCTCCGGCTCCATTTTCTCCGCCGCCGGGGGCCGGGGTCTCCTGTGGGGGGCCCAGCGGGTACCCTAGGTCTTCCTTCAGGGCCGGGGTGAACCCTCAGGAGAGCCGAGAGAGGGGGAGACAGGCGGGGGTTGGGGCAGAGGGCGCAGCGGCCCTAGCGAGTTGGGGGGTGGGGAGTAACCAGGCGGGGGGAGGGGCGGAGAAGGGAGGGGGCCTCAGGCCCCCCCCAAC